CCTGGAGTGGTGTACGGGCCCTCATGGCCCAGGTCTGGAGGCCTATACACCAGTCCAAGGCCCAGGATGGACCTGGTCAGAGCTGGTGGTGGTGTATTGTTTGCGTCCCTCCGAAATCATCTCACGCAGCCGATTTTCCCAGCGCCTCCTGGCGCCATGGGCGCCAACGTATTGATGGAAGCGCCTAGCGGCGGGACCGAAACCGGCTGCACGCCTCCTCCTCCTCCTCCTCCTCCTCCTCCTCCTCCTCCTCTTCCTGCTGCTCCTCCTCCTCCCCCTCCTCATTCTCCTCCTCCTACTCTTCCTCCTCCTCCTCCACCTCCTCCTCCTCCTCTTCCTCCTCCTCCTCCCGCCACCGCGCAGCCCGCTCCCCCCGGCTCCCCTCCGGGGGGCAGTGCAAGAACCACGCCCCGGCTTCGGGAGAGGGAGCCCAGCCCCCCTCCCCGCCCAGCCCCCCCTCGACTGGGCCACGGCCGCGCAGCAACTGACTGAGAGTGGCGCCGTGGCGGGTTTCGGATGCCGTTGGTCGTTTCCAAAAGTTTTCGGGGGGTCCAGAGGGGGAGGAGGGAGGGAGGGAAGAGGACGAGGGGAGGAGGAGGAGGAGGAGGAGGAGGAGGAGGACGAGGAGGAGGAGGAGGAGGCGGAGGAGGTGGAGCATGAGGAGGAGCCGAGGAGGAGGGAGAGGAGGAGGGGAGGAGGAGGAAGTGTAGGAGGGAAGGATGAGGAGGAGGAAGTGGAGGAGGGAAGGATGAGGAGGAGGAGGGAGGAGGAGGAGGAGGAGGAGGAGGAGGAGGAGGAGGAGAAGGAGAAGGAGGAGGAAGAGGAGGAGGAGGGAGGGCAGGGAGAGTAGGGAGGAGGAGCGCCAAGCAACTTCCGAAGGGGAGGGGGCCCACAGGCGCCCTCGCCGCTCACACCGAGACCTTGCAAGAATCACAAGCTGCACAAACATAAACGTTCGGAGGTCCGTGCGGCTTTCCTAGGCCGGCGCTGGACGCTCCCCCTGCGGGTGCGCCCCGCGCCGGTTCCGAGAACCCCGCCAGGACATCCCGAAAGTCTCCGGCCAGACACAGGACAGAAGGATTTCCTTCAAGAACATGAAAACCTCAGCCAGCCAAGCAGACGAACATCCGCAGGTACCCTCCCCCAGGATGCACAAGAGCATGCAACAAACACGAATGACATGAGGGTGCCCTCCCAGAACCGACCTCGATCTTCTCCATCGGTCCGACCGTACAGCAGATTCGTGTCGTTGGCCCCTGGCACAGCGCGGACAGTTCAATACTGAACGCGCGCGGCTTCCCGATTTGGTGGAGAGCGATGGGGGAAGTGAGAAGGAGAAGGCCTTCTCAGAAGGCGGCGGGGCTTCTCAGAAGGCCTCGGGCCTTCTGAAAAGTTGTCTGTGTCTTCGGGGAAGGCTTAGAACAACTTCCCAGAAGGACGGGGGACTTCTGAGGCTTCTGAGAAGGCCCGCCCCTTCTCACTTCCCACCCTCGCTCGCCGCCGACCGATACCGTGACGTCGTTCGATGTCGGCCGACCCGAAGAGCCTGCCGAGTGCTCATGTGCCGTGTCAGGCAGCAGGGCGAATTGAGACAACGGCAGCTCAAAATAGATCCCCGGACGGCCCTGGCCCCAACCCCGGCCCCGGCCGAGGCCCGGCCCAGGCCATGGCCCAGGCCCTGGCCCTGGTCCTGGCCCTGGGAGGGAGCAGGGGGTCCTGGGGGAGGTCCCGCCGTAAGGGTCCGCGGCACTGGCCGTAAGGCCTTCACAATAATTCCCGGGATCCCTCCCAGGGTCCAAACGCAGCAGTTTTCCGAGCTGCGTCCAGCCGTAGCTACGAGGGTTCCCCCCGAAGGCCCATCTTTTGAGGCCTCCCAGATAAGGGGCTGAGCAGATGGGGTCGGAGGATCGCACCGCATCGCCAACGCATCGCCGATGCATCGGCGATGTCGGTGACGTATCGGCGACGTCGGCGTGGAAAAAATCAGGCCCTACATCGAGCCTCCAACCCCATCTACAGTCACGTGGCATAGTGAGGATGCGCAGCAAGGATGCGGCCTTGGAGGGCCATGTTGGCGTTCTCGAACTGGGCGCGGGCAGCGAAAGTCGCCAAGGATGGGCCGAAGGGGCAAGAATGTAAGGGTGGCCTTGGAAAGTTGCTCATCCTTCCTATGCGACTGGACTGCACGCGGCTAGGAGGCCTGGATGTAGAGAGCAGGAGAACACCCTCAGAGAAGCCGCCCCCCACAAGCAAAGCCGCTCAGCAAACGCACCAAGGAAGGCATCGAGCGGGGCAGGGCTGCTTGGTACGTGCTCAGGGCCGTTCAGTACAGTCGGGGCACTGCCAGAACGAAGGGGCCTTCCTGGCCACGGTGGGCCTCGTCCACGGACAGGTTCCTCGACCTTGACCCAAGGAAAGGCCCGAAAACCCTCCTGAGCCCAAAGTGGTCCTTCCTTCGGCGCCTCGAAAGTAAACGCCAGTTGTGGGAATCGGGGTGGTTTTTTGAGCAGTGGCCGACCGTCCTGGCATTCCTATGGTCCTACCACGACATGCCCTTAGAACCCCAAAGTGATCGAAAAACAAAAACACTGTTCTTAGAACATAAGCCAGATGTGTTAAAGCAGGACGGTCCCGGCCAGACATGTTCTGAGAACATCTCGTGGAAGCCACAAAAGGTTCCTAGAACATTGCTTGGTAGGCCTATAGGTGAGCCAGGACGCATCGCCACTGCTCGAGTTCCCCCCCCTTGAAAAGGAGTGCCGCTTGCTCTTCCGGACCTCGCTCCACGCCTGCAGGGAGGAGCTGCCCCGCTCGCTCGGGGGGCAGCGCGCCGAGGTGCTCGAGCCAGCGTTCGCCAGGGCCTGCAGCGGCCACTGGCTCCCCACGGCCCTGCACGCGACGTCCCGGAGCCCTGGGTACGCGTCGTTCCACGACTCGGCGCAGGGCTCCTCCGCCGCGGGGGCGCAGAGATTCAGCTCGGGAGCGTCCTTTTGAGAATCGCTTCACCAATCCCTATATATCCCCACTGGCGTGGCCTTGGCCCCGCTGGCCGGCTTGCCCATTTGAGTGGGATTCCCACCTTCTCCCTCTTACTCCCTACTTCTCATACCTCCATGCTTCTTACTCTCTCCTTCTGACTCCCTCCTTCCCACTTTGCCCTTCTTACTCTCTCCTTCTCATACCATTCTTACTCCACCATACCCTTCATACTCTCTCCTGCTCCCTGGTTTTTCCCCTCGAGATCCACAAATCCCCCAAACCGGCTGTTCGGGAGGGCTCAGGGTGGGAATACATGCCTGCTTCTTCGGACTTCGCAAGGCCTGTCCCCACCAAGCTCGCTGGGCGGACTGGCGGGGCTTAGATACCGTCGCCCAGGTGGGGATCGGGATAGTACATTTAGACGACCCTGAGTCCTGCCCGGGCCGCCTGGGGAAGCAGTCGCGCAGCATCCGGTGTGTCTCGAGCATGGTGGGCCGCTCCGCGGGGTCGAACGCGAGGAGGCTCCTGCTCGTGGCCCAGAGGGCGGAGCCGACCACCTCCCTCGGCCAGACCAGGTCCGGCGAGTGGCTGCGGGACCGCTCGCGCACCTCGGCCTCGGGCACGCCGAGCAGGGGCACGGAGCCGCTGACCACGAGGAACATGAGGCGCCCGAAGGAGAACACGTCGGCGAGGCAGTCCAGCGGAGAGCCGTTGAGCACTTCGGGCGCCATGTACTGCAGCGTCCCTCCCCGCGGCTGAACGAGTCCCCGAACGCGGCGCGACAGCCCGAAGTCCAGCAGCATCGGCTTCAGGTTGCCCTGAGCATCCTGCTCCGCCAGCACGTTGGAGCCCTTCAGGTCACCGTGTACCACGGGAGGCGCCCGAGAGTGCAGATACCGCAGTGCGCAGCACACGCCGGTCAACACCTGAGCGCGCGCGAATTCCCTTGGCGGGTTCTCGGGGTCGCAGACCAGCTCGTCGACACTCCTACCGCGCACTAGTTCAAGGATCAACGCCATGCGACCACGTTCTGGCTGTATGCACGCGCCGTGGAAACCCACGATGTTGGGGTGCCTCAGGTGCCGCATGATGCCCAGCTCGTTTCCCAGGTTCACGAACGCCTTGGTGGAGACCTCCCCGCTGGGGATCTTCACCGCCACAGGCGTGCCGACGAAATCGCCCTGGACGACGAGCCCGAAGCTGCCAGAGCCGAGTATTCTCGAAGTCAGGCGAACGTGCTCCGTGTCGACGAGCCACTTCTGTCGCTTGCCGGCCGCCGCCACAGAGAGCAGTGCGGATTTGCATTCGAACGCCAGCACGTTATCGTCCTCATCCATGCCTTCCAGCCTGCTCAGGTCGAACACCTGGTCCGAGGCCTTCGATGACACTAGGGAGAGCCCGTCCGTGACTGCACTGACGTGCGAGCGGGTCTCGAGGTCCACGCAGGTTGAAGAGCTCGACAACGCCTGCTCCAACTTGAACTCGGTCGCGACGCGCCCGTTCCGTTCCAAGAGCAAAGCGGTGAACAACTTCCGCTGGGTGGCTTCGATGTTCCGGGTGCCTACGATCGCCAAGAGCGTCAAAGAGGCCAGCGAGAGTAGTGACCACAGCTCGACCTCGGACGAGTCGCCAATCATGAAATTCGCCGACCCCTGGGGTGTCAGCGTGGGAAATGGCTGCCCCTCCCTAGGGAGGGGACTTGCTGACAAGTGGGGAGGCGGGGCCGTGGGAAAACTGAGAACGGGAGGCGCTCGGGGAGGCCAGGGGAACTCGCGGGAGCCCTGGGCCTCAAGACAGGCCTCCGATGGCCGAGCCGGGTGCCTCTGGGCGCCTCCAAGAGGCCTCCTGCGGCCCCTCGGGTGTGACCCCCCCCGAAGCCGCGAGGAGGGCCCCGAGAAGTCCCGCAACTGATCCCAAGAGACCTCCCAAAGGCCTCCTCCTCCTGCCATGAAGTGCGGCCACAACGCCCAGCCTTCACGAGCTCTGGGCGTGCCCCCCGCGAAGCGAGATGAATAGTACGCAATAGGCAGCAGCACAGTGGAGTCCGCCGCCAGGAGGTAGTACCAGCGCACTCGCAAGTAGAGGTGCGAGACTGTCAGCACGGTGTCCAGCATCAGGCAGGTCAGGGCCGTCTCCGCTTCTCCGCGTCTCCACGTCGCCCCGACGAGATTGCTGGGATCGTGCCCCTGCAGCAGCGCCATGTAGGAGGGCTTCGACAGTATCACCGTCAGGCAGCCGCAGAGGCACATGATCGACACCAGCCTCTCGCTGCCCACGGCGCCCAGCTTGTTGGAGAACCCGAGGCAGATGGCAAGCGACGGGATCGCGAATAAGCCGATGGCCACGACCTTCATCACGTAGACGGCCCGCACCGCCTGGTGGTCCTCGTGATCCAGCCCGCGGAAACCTCCCTGGAAGAGGGCGAAGGCGAGGGACACCTGGAAGAGGGTGCACGCCACCGCGCAGTTCCGGAGCGACTGCCGGGCGCGCCCCGCGACGAACGCCAGCTCCGACTTGTCGTTCGGGAACCTCTTGCGGAGCGCCAGGGGAGGGCAGGGCGAGAAAGGCGATGGCAGGGGGCCTCTTGGAAGGAGCCGGCCCCCACGTGAGCTCAACATCTCCTTCGCCTTTCGATCAGAAGGCCGCCCCCCCGCCTTACCCCCGACCTGGATCCGCTCGAGACCCATCCCTGGCGACCTGCCCCCCCCCCCCCCCCCCCATCCAAGGTCTATCTTGGCCAGTCTCTTCGAGCCGCGTCCAGCCATGGCTGAGGGCTTCTTCAGGAGGCCCAAGAGAGGCGAGAAACTACTCGTCATTCATTTCTCATCGTGCTCGTTTCAAAACTCTTCCTGGCCCCCTAGTGGCCAGGAAGAGGCCCAGGATATAACAATTAGGCATGAAAGGATCTTGACCCCCAAAAAAATCAAAGAACTTTCAAATACTTAGAAATGAACAGTGTGTGCAGATCCTGAGAGGCAAAAGACTGGGGCAGGCGGGGCAAGTGGGACCGTCCAGGGCCTGCTGGAGCGACCGGGGGCGACTGGGGCAGGCGGGGCAGGGCCAGCTGGGGCCGAGGCCGCATTGGGTTCGCTGGGCCCCCTCCCCCTCGGCCCTGGGCCTCCTCTGTCTCCTCCTCCTCCTCCTCCTCCTCCTTCTCCTCTTCCTCCTCCTCCTCCTCTTCTTCCTCCCTCGCGCCTCCTCCTCCTCCTCCTCCTCCTCCTCCTCCTCCTCCTCCTCCTCCTCCTCCTCCTCCTCCTCCTCCTCCTCCTCCTCCCCGCCAGGCCCCTGCCCGCCGCCAAAGAGAACCTCAGGGAGAGGTCCGCGAGGCGCCGCGCCAGTCCGCAGGGCGCCATCGCCCTCTGCGCAGGCCGCAGAGGCCGCTGCGCCGCACCGCGCCGCGCCCCGCTCGGGCAGGAGGGCGCTGGGGCCCAGACGGCGCTGAGAGCACGCAGGAAGGCGCCGAGCTTCGCGCTTCGCGCCGCACCCCCCCCCCCGGGGGAGAAGAGGAGGATGAGGAGGAATCGGAGCCGGACCGCGAAGAGCGAACAACTTCGCGCCCTCGAGGGCGCCCTTGTCCCTTCGGCCCTCTCCCGGACGCCTTCGGGGGGCACCTCTGGAAGGCGGAGCGCGGCGCGGAGGGCCCTGCAGGACTGCGGGAGCGGGCATGGAAGGGCGCTCGACCCTCGACGGAAAACATGTCCGCATCCATGGCCTCGCGGGATCGGACTCCTGGGCCGCAGCCCCTTGGATGCGGGGCGCTTTTTCGGGGACGCCCCCCCCCCGCGCGGAAAGTATCCATGCGACCGCGCATCCACGAGATCGCGCCCCAGAACCCAGACCGTCAGGGCGTCTCATGAAGGGAGGAGGTGTTCTTGGACGGCGTCGGACGTCTTTCGGATGCTTTAGTTGCCCTTGTTAGGCCTTCAGCAACCTCCAAGGACCTGGGACCTCTGGGGGTGAAGACTCCCCCGAGACGGGTCTAGAGGCCCTGGAAGAGAACTCCAAGACGGCCCAAGAGGGCTCCAATCCGGCCCTAGAGGCGCCCAAGACTGCCCAAGAGGGCCCAGGACGGCCCCAAGAGGGGCCCAAGAGTGGGAACACGAACCAAGAGAGGTCCCCAGCAGGTCTCCTTGCCTTCTCCAACAGTTGCCACCAAGAATGGTGCGCTGGCACGGTGGGGGAATTGCTGGAAGTAGCGGGAGTACTTCGTCAAATCCTGTTACTACTAAATTTGACAACGCAGCAAGTCCGCAGATGGATGGCGGTCCCTCTCACAAAGTCTGGCTCTCGCGTGAGGCCGCTCTACATTTGCACCTCTAACCGCAGGGCCCAAAGGATTTCGAACAGCCATGGACGGAGGGCAGATGCTTTCCAAAATCGAACCGCCGCTCGGGATGTCCCCGGGCTCTGTGAACCTGAAGCTCGGCAGTCCTGGCAGCGCGCAGCGTCTGCCAGCCACAGCGACCGCGGGCGACTCTCTCTCGGCCTCGCCGTGGGCCGCTCTGGAAGCCCTGCATCAAAAAAGGTTGTCGACTCTCGGCCCTGAGGGATGGAAATCAAAGGGCAGGAAGGGATCCAAGGGTGGTTTCACATGGTTTGCGGCACCTCGTCCTTAGGTCATAATCTCTCAGGACTCCACCTTTGAACCACCGAGACTCTTGGAGGGCCAACTTTTGCTTCCGCCCGCTTCCGCCAGCGGAGCTGCCCGCGTTCTGCTTCCGCCGCCTTCCGCCAGCCGTCCGCCGCCTCCCGCCGAGGAAAGGATGCCGACTCGTTCGGTCCTCGAAGGCGATGCCCTGTCAGGAATGCCCCCATGTGTCTGGCAGCTCTGTGCGATCGGATCGCGACGTGATCGTCGACTCACGCCTCGGATCGCGCGATGCTCTCACTACGCAGGCCCATAGGACCCCGACCTTCCCAGCGAGTGCTTGCCGGGATGAGGGGAAACAAGCTTGCTCTAGGTCGCCGAATTTCGCGCATCGACGCCCTCACGCCGCCGCCTTGGAGAAAGGCGCCTCTCCAACCCAAACCGCGATGCGCCAAGCGCGATTATCTTCGCGCCCGCTGCGGTGACCTAGCTGCCTGAGACGCAGGAGCGTGGTGCTTTCCTTGGGGGATGATAAAAGGCGGGTCTGATTGCAGAGGACACCCGCGAGGACACGAGTCTCTTCCGAGAGCAGGCCGTGCTCCAGTCAAAGAGAGGACACGGAGCGCGATGGACAGAGCACACAGGGCGCCCCGTGACTCTGCAGGCTCGACATACGTATGGGACCCGACCGTCGCGCGGAAGCCGAGACCGTGCAGCCAGCCAGCTGCGCAGGCTGTCCTGCAAAAAAAAAACCATAAAAACCGCGGCCCGCAGCCCCGGCGGTCGATGTCGACTGCAGGGACGTGGTGCAACATCGGTGTCGCGTGCTGGGCTGGGAGGAGGAGGAGGAGGAGGAGGAGGAGGAGGAGGAGGAGGAGGGAAGAAGGGACAGGGATGAGAGAACGAGGATGAGGAGAACGGAGGAGTAGGAGGACGTTGGAGGAGAAAATGGTTGCCCTCCTCCTACTCCAGTCGTCATCTGTCTCCTGCTCCCTGTTCCTGTCCCCCTTCGCGTAATCACCTCCCGGCCGTCGCACCACCAAGCGTTTCGATGGAGCGGGCCGAGCGTTTCGCGCGATCTCGCAGTATATCCTGAAACTTTCAACTCCTAACAATTGAACGAATCGAGGGGTGGTTGCTTTCAACATGCCACTCTCGCCTCATCGCCGCACATACACTCGTCTTCAACTGCTACATGAATTACGCAGATGAAAGACAATTCGTTTTGAAATTTGCATCGCGCCTGAGCGCCGCCGCTTTCGTCTGAAGCGTTTGTTACAGCTACGCGGGTAAGTAGTGGCTGTTTTCGAGCATTGTATCTCGCCCTAGCGCCGCGCACACTCGCTTTGAATGTTTACAGCAGCTAGAAGGAAGGATGGCAACTACGTATTAAATTGTGGCTCTTGCGCTAGCGCCATGCACACGCGTTCGAAAACACAATTAAGCGGGTGGAGGGCGGCTCCTTATCACCATCTGGCTACGCGACTTCTGCAACGAGAAGCGTAAATCTGTGCAGCAGTCGCACGGATGCATGGCGCTTCGCTGCTGAACTGGGGTTTTCGTTTGAGCCTTCCTGACTTCCTCAGGCTGTGTGATCAGGTTATACATACATACATACATACATACATACATACATGCATGCATGCATACATACATACATACATACACACATGCATTCATACATGCATGCATACATACATACACACATACAGACATACATACATGCATACATGCATGCATGCATACATACATGCATGCATACATACATACATACTTACATACACACATACATACATACTTCGGTCAGAGCTTGAGTCAGAGCTCCGCGAGGCCGCTCAGGGACCCGAGGCTACCTGGTTGGAGGACCCACGAGCCGACAGCCCAGCCCTGGTTGGGACGAGCTCCTGCACAGACGAGGGGGCCTTGGCCCAGCGGAAGCTGCTCGATGCCGTCCAGGAGAGCGGGGTGCTCGACTCCGTGAGCCACGCCAGCGACTACATGCGGTCGCATGTCCTGGCCCGCCTTGCCTGCGCCCGAGGGCGCGAGGAGGAGCTCTCAGTCGAAAAGGTACTTCTTGAGGCGACGCGCCACGGCGGGCCCACCCTGGCTGCCGAGGCTAGCGAGCTCCTGGACCGCATCGGGGCGAAAGCCGGCAACCTGGGAGCTGACCCCGATGTCATCATCACGCCGGTGCGGTGGAATGCCGAGAAGTCAGTGGGGCAAGGTTCCGTCACGGTGCAGGGCCAGACTTGGCACTACCTTGACTACCAGGACCAGTTGCCCCTCGACGAGTGCGTCGCGAAGCGTCTGCACGTACCCGCTGGGGTCTCGGAGGAGCGTCAGTGTCTCCCACTCCACCTGGCAGCAGCCAAGCTCTGGGTGCAGCTCGAAGCACCACCTGACGCCCAGCAAGTCAAGGACCTGGCCCTTGAGATCCACAGAGAACTCCTGGAGAAAGCGACCGACGCTGCTGCGGGCCTAGCCGATGCTCCACCTTGGATATCTTCCAGGGAGGCTGAGGTCCGGATGCACATCCACGACGCGGTGCACCGCGACCACGACAAGGATTTCAGGTGCGTCGCGCTCTTCCCGTGCGAGGCGTTGGAGGAGGTGGTACTCAGAGTATGGCGGGCTGATCATTGGGGACACTTGGACATCGACACAGTCCTTCCCGCGGGAGAACCCAAGCAGGAATGCCACGTGATCATCCATCGCGGGCATATGCGAGTCCTTCACCCCCCGTCCGGCGCTGAAGGTCGGCGAGTGGCAGAAGAGCTGATCCGCACCTGGGCCACGAGCGGGAAGGACCTCAAGGAGCTCCCCACCATGGGCTGGGAAACATATCTGGCCTCTGAGGAGGATGGCAGCCCAATGATGTCCAGCAAGCCCCCACCGTGTCAGCACTGCAGGGCACTCGCTGCGCAGCAGCAGCAGCGCGGGA